GTTCAGTATGCAAACTTTTCTTGAGAATGAAAAATTAAGTTGAACCTTACTTAAGCTGCCACTCAGAATGTCTCTTCTCAACCTACACATTTTTTAAGTTTTGTGTAGTAACTTTTATACTATAAGTTTAACAGTAAACATAAATGAGTTTAATAAGAGTGCTGAACACACTTGAATTAAATAATTCAGTACTGGTTGGATAAATAAATCTTTTTTTTTTTTTTTTAGGGACACCAGTGCCCTGAAAAATAAATGTTAATGTAGGCCCCTACCCTCATTTTAATAACTTTTTCTCTCAATAACTTGCTTTGTCTTAAGCTTTGATAATGTCTTACACTATTTCTGACCAGCTAGGGTGCCTTGCACTTATATGTTTTTGTTTTTGCATGTGAAAGAAATGTCGCTTTTTTAAACTCTAACCAGTTTTGCAGCTTTGAAAAATAAATGTCTAACTGGGAGAAATTAAATGTCAAAAAAACTGTTTAATTGTGCAAATAAGTCACCCAAATACCCAGAAAGAATGATCAAAAGAATGGAAAAAAGGAACAAGTTATCAAGGAAGTGCAGTACTACATTATATTTATAAACAGACTGATGTTCCTCTGATCATATTGGTGTACAGACAGAATGTGATTTGTCACTTGTCAGAGCACGTCATAAGAGGATTGATTGGAAGCATAAGATAGAAGAGTGTGATGGACAGAATCTGCTTTATACAAATCAACAGTTTGTTTATATCGTGTGTCTAAAGACTTGACAAAACTTAGCCTTTTACCAATGCAAGCTGCATTAAAGCTGCTCATTATACAGTTCTTCTTTAGAGGGACCAAAGAAATGTGATTGTGATACAAAAGCATCCACGGCTTCTTGGACAAAGGCTGTCCTCTGCTAGTGTGGATGAATTGCAGGCTTTGTCTGCTGTAACAGTCTATAGAGTTGTGCTTCTTGGTTGGATAATGTTGGGTCACAACACATACACACACACACCAGTTCTGTAGCCAGAACTGTTGGTTGGTTAACTGCTGTTCAGTGTGATAAACGTGGAGCCATTGATTTTTTTATGGCAATATGTAATAGAGTTAATTAATGAGGGTTAATGTAAAGACAGTTCCTGGTAGCAAAACAGATAAGTCTTAAATGTAGTCAAGAAACTCCTTTAGATGTTTGTTGAAAAGGTTTAAAGTAAAGAATAGATGGCACTTGACATTCACACATACAGTATGAATACATACACACACATACAGAACCTTGTCAGTGTCACTGTGTTCAAGTCAGGGCAGTGCAGTTTTTACAAATAAAAGGAAGCTGTACAGTTAAAATTTTTCACAATTTTTGAGTGAATGTACAAACAGTTTCTTTTTACAAGCTGCATAATTTCTTGTTTGTGAGGCAGCGACATGGACACAGATGGCAGATGGACCTTTTGACAGAGAGATAAACACGGAAATAGATGGTGAACTACACAAGATAACAGACCAGCAAACACGTGGCTACAAAACTAGAGTGTGCACTGTAGGAAATACAGAGATACAAAAGGAAAGACATGCCACTATGCTGAGAGGGTAGCAGAGAAGAAAGAAAGCCAAAGAACAAGAAGGAGGAGGCCATGTCATGAGAAAGAGTGGGTGAGTGAAAGACTGAAATAGAGTTAACACAATCAGATCAGGAAGTAGCGATGCTGAGCACATGGGTGTGGTTAGGCAGTTACCCTATTAGCCTTTTCAGAAGTGACATACATAGGAAATACAAAGGAAAGCATCGTGCATGATGAGGATGTGGACAAATCCCTGGGCTCGGGCACCTCACAGGATGGATACTAAGGTAAGCATAATAGTCCGAATGGATGACTATATATCAGAGGGCTTGAGGGCTGTTTTGGTGAAGCCGAATGAAACTAGATTGATGGAGGATGACAGTCAAGTGGATGAACAGATGGAGAGTGAGTGAGAGTGCTAGATGTGACAGACAGACAGGCGGGTCGGGCTAGGGGAAGGGACAGGCGCCTGTACAGCCCAGGGGAAACAGGCCTCATCTTGACATATGCTCTGGAGTGAAATGAAGATTGGCATGACCTGCTAATCTGAGCTGTCGCAGCTCATGACGGCCACAGACACTCACCTGTCACGCTGTTCTAAGCCCAGAGGACAAGCTGCCACCAGGATAGGTCAAAGATCGAGATTCATTTTCTGCTGGGGGTGGATTCAAACCGAGCCACTGGCCTAGAGTTGCATCTGTCACCCTACATGCCTTTGCTGTAGATCTTTGTATTGCTATAAAATAAAACAATACTGCCTACATCTGTTTTACTATAGTGTTTCATTTCAAGCTGGGGACAAAATGTTGTGAGGGGGAGGAAGTCTGTTTTTTCTTTTTTCTCCATTATTCAGGGATCGCTACTTGCCAGTGCTGGATTTCCATTATGTTAAAAGGAGTTGTTTTGACACATCCTCCAATGCCTCTTTTTACTTGGTGACAGAAGCAAACTTAAAAAACGGGATGAAGTTTGATCAACAGTGCTACATAGTTCAACAGAGACGTGTGGGTGGATTGCATACACAATGTGCAACCTCAATCACTCATTTTTGACAAATGGAAAAAAAGCAGTAGTTATATGTCTGTCTTATAAAGTTTGACACCCAATATAAGAATTTGTTTTCTTTCATGCTGAGCAAAGAATGTGTGTGGTGTCGCCTGTGTACGTTAGGAGGAAGGAGAAGTGGCCATGTGGCACAAACCTCAATGAGCACATCTTCCTGTTTGCAACATGCAAAATTTTTCCAAGTGACTGCTGTCTTACTGCAGTCACTTACACAGATCCATTATTTTAACATTATGTATGTGCTTGCCATGTACTCAGGCCCTGGATACAGAATAACATCATTACCATGGCTATAAATAGAGTTTGTATAAATTTAACAGTGCCTTCCTGTGTGCTAATGAGGTTTCATCTGGATGTTGTATATCTGCTCCAGTCCTCTGCAACAGATGCCTTCTGTCTTTATTTATGGACTCAAATGAAATATCTTAGAGGTTCTGAATTACTTTGTCGATCTTGTGGTAATAATGTGGTTGAGTTCATTTCATTTTTATTTTCATAATTTGTGTTAAAATAAGCTGAAATACAATTTATTAAGACACTTGGGATGCAACCTAGTTTACTCTTTCTACATAAATGGTCCACCTCTTCTCATAAAATGTTTTATTTTTCCAGATCTATTTGGGTTTGATCCTTTTCCTGTTTGTCATGTTAAAAGGTGAGTGTAAGAACTGAATTGGAAGTAGTGTGAACTAAGTTTAAAACAAGACTTTTGGTCACAAATCATCATAACAGAATACACTAATCAGCCATAACATTATGACCACTGACAGGTGAAGTGAATAACACCGATGATCTCGTTACAATGGCACCTGTCAGTGTGTGGGGTATATTAGGCACAAGTCACCATTCAGTCCAAATGTTGATGTGTTGGAAGCAGGAAAAATGGGCAAGTGTAAGGATCCAAGCATATTTGACAAGGGCCAAACTGTGATGCCTGATGACTGGGTCAGATCATCTCCCACACTACAGGTCTTGATGGGTGTTCCCAGTCTGCAGTGGTTAGTACCTACCAAAGGTCTGTAAGAAAGGACAAACAGTGAACCAGCAACAAGGTCATGGCAACCCAAGGCTCACTGTTAATGACGCTGACCTACTATGAATTAAAATTTTTCATTTCATTAAACCTTTTTAACCAACTGCCATACTGACTCCTATGTACACAGTATTAGGCAAGTTGTCGTATAATGGCTCACACTAAATGTCTTAGAACTCAATCTGACTTTAATGCAAAAGATTTAAAATCAAAATCAAGGTTTTTATCCACACAGTTTATCTGACACATCGAACTGTACAAAAACTACAATCAGCTAAGTCCTTTAATTAAGTTCATTAAAGAACTTGGAAGCACAGCATTAGCTCAAGAAAGCAGAGGTTTTGCGGAGCTTCAGCACTAATTGGAAGGTGCTGAGTGATTAAACAGACAACGGCCTCAATGTCCTGTCTTTCCGCACAACAATCCAGCTCTGTTACAGCCAGAGGTTTTGTAAGAGCTACTTCTTTGTAACTGTGCTGCACTGCCCCACTCACAGGATTATTACTGCATATACTCTCAGTGCAGGCCTCTCTCCCCTGCATTGACCAAACACATTCTCAAGTCTAGCCTGTGCCAAGAATATATCACAGCATTGTTTGGGACAGTCAACACTGTTCTTTGTTCTTCCTGTAACGTGTAGTGTATTGTGGCCCTGCTCTGCTTCATTTGACTTGTGTTTTTGGTGATTAAAATGTTCTTTTTCCCCACACAGTGTCAAGGGCTCAGATTCCTGCAACCACAGGTCAAATGAAGCCCATGAATATGGAAAACACTCAAACAATGTCCACTGCTCCAACCACCACTGGTACAGTACCCATGTCTCCAGGTAATTTCTTTCTTTAAAGTTACTATCCATAATCATCTGTCTATCTATTGATCTGTGGTGTATCATTGTTCAGTTGCAATGTAAAACTACTGTGTAACATGTACTGTAGAAGCCCTGCAATGAAAATGTCAATTAAGTAAAAGTGTGTTAAGTATTAGTTGCAAAATGTACTTAAAATATTAAAAGTACTGGCAATACAAAACATGCACCATGTGAGTGTTATACTATTACATACTATTATTATAAATAAGAAGATTATTCATATTATATTATTGAATTATAATTATAGTTTATTTAATGTTGTTATAGTCTAAGAAACACTGTTGTATTGCATAGTGCAAACTCTAACAATGGATCATAATTTATAAGTTCATCATGTTCCATGCTTTGTATGGAAAATCTTACTACAGAGTGAAAATGGAAACACTACACATTCCCTTATTTTGCATTCACATACAAGTAGTATAAACACATTTAATGAATTAATGTAGTTGTTATATATGTTAGCAGATGTTAATTTATCTAGAAATCTAATTGTATTTTATGCAATCCTATTAGAAAAACTGGACTGTCTTTCAGATATAATTAATTTGTTTTCTTGCGGTAAAAGGAAAAAGAGAAAACAACATCACCAAAAGTGTGGAATCCTCCCTGGCAACGTCACCTGCCGAGCAAACCACGGAGCAGCACATTAGCACTACCAGCCAAGGGAGCACCATCACCACCACATCAGGAATGACAACGTCAACAGGTCCTGCATTTTGTGATGCACCTCGCACCAATCATTTCAATTTAAGTTGATGTCATTCATCTTTATTTATCTGTTTTTTTTTTCTTTAGCTCCCAAAGAAGAACCAACACCAAAGAGCTCTAGCACTCTTGGTAACAGTCTTCACTCTCTCACTCACAGTTCAGTGCCCAGTTGGTGGAGCCATTGAGTTTGGCTGGTAGATGAACAGTGAGAGCACTCCAATAGGTTATAACATCTCACATCAGTAGCAAGGCCTTATAGAAAGCTTCACCATCGAGGATGCAGAATACTTTTAAAACTCATTATTAGAAGTTAATTAGAAAAATGTTAGACTCTCTGTCCTTTTTTAAGATATATATACACATTCTATTGCACCGGTGAAAGAGAAAGAACAAGAGTAAGAGAGACAGGATGAGCGTTGATATGTTTTTAAAGGTGTCAGCCTGAATTTCCTCTGAGAGCCATCCTACTGAAATATTCAGAAATTCAATTAAAATAGAGTTCAGCATAGGAATGTACCTGGAATTTAATGAGAAGAAATTATGTATGGACTTGTATGGCAAAGAGAAGGTGTCAGTATGTCCCAGAAAAAATGTGTTCCAATACATAAAACTATGATTTTTTTTTTATATTATAATGCTGTGTATTATACATATTGGACTTTATAAAGATTTACTAAAGAAGGAAAGGGAGTCAGAAAAACAAAAATGCCAAGGAAACTAATGCTTTTGCTGTCTCTTTGTTCAGCATCCACAGCGACACCCTCCCCATCCATAAAGAAGAAAACCACCAAAACAAGGACCCATCAAACTGATCCCCGGGGTAACTAAAACATTTTCTACTCCATACTTACCTTAAATGCCACATGCATTGTGGATTTATTGTTTTCTCAGGACAGTCTGCCAGTATCACAGTTCCCCGTCTTCCAAACAAAACCCATGATGGAGTAGTAAAACAGAGATCTTTGCTTCCTCTGTTGCCAACAGATTAATGCTCGGTTGTAACTAATGCAAGAAGAGATAAGATATTTGTGTCCCTGTGATGTGATGTGCTGGCCTGATAGGGTTTTGATAGATTATCAACAGCATCTCAGCGTGGTCAGTAGATCTGTCCTGCCAACTCTGACAGCTGTTCCCCAGTCATCCTCTGTTTTTTCTTCCTGTGTTCAACAGTCAGATTTAATTCATTACTTTTCTTTGTACTTTTACTTCTCATAGATTCAAAGTCTGACCAAGCTTTTACCTACGGTAAGACATTTGACGTGACTGTGTTTTTGTGTTACTGCCTGTCATGTCTGTATTAAGTGTTGAGTGTTGTGCTTCATATGTCCAGACTACCAGTCCCTGCGCCATGCTGGACTGTCCATTGCAGCAGTACTCTTCATTCTAGGTATAATGGTCATTAGCTGTAAGTATGACTTTTGTCTTTTGTAACAATTTGGAAATGGTTCTGTTTTTATTCAACCATCCTTCTAATTAGTTTGCTTTTCTCTAAACGTAGGTGGCAAGGTCTGTCGGCTGCCCAGGTGTCGGAAGAGGTCATCAAAGTAAGTATTTACAGCCATAGTCATGAAAGACAATGAAAGCCCAGACAGTCTTATTGTGCATGAAGGATAGCTGTGCTTATATCCAGTTGTCAACCAACAGCACCACTGCATGAGTTTAGTCATTTATATCATAGGCTACCGGATGATGTATGGCAAGCAATCATTCAAGTCAGACATATAATAATAGCTCAATAGAATGGTGACTAAAATTTCTGTGATGAATAATAAATCACAAAGATCATGATTAAACTGGGCAAAGCAATAACAAACCAACTGCAATGACTGCAAAACACATTGTTTTTCTTATTATGGTACATTTGTGTACAACTGATTCCTTAAATAGTGTTTAATTCTGTAAATGCTCTGTTCTTTGTGTTGTATTTTCCAGGTCATATCAAGTGGTCCAACAATAACGATAAAGCATGTGTACATGATACAAGGACAGAGCTGTAAGAAACCGACCAGGAGTCCGTCAGGAGAAAAAAACACTGCATCTGGAAACGTTTGCATGTGACTGTATGCTGCTTAGTAACAGTGTCACAGAAAAACACTGAATAAACAGAGCAAACATGAATCACGCACACAAGTGAGAAAACTGAAGCAGTCAACTTTTGTGTTATTTCCGTACTATACTTTACAAAACAGCACTTAGAAAAAAAAACTGATTCCTTATCTTGACAAATAATGAAGAGATAATTCATGCTTTAATCGTATCTTCAGCCATGGAGCGGAGTTGTTTCTAATGACCTTTGTATCTTATATCTATTAATACACCCATAATCAGCATCTCACAGCCAGGATCATCATTAAAGGTTATGCAGAATAACCCCATAGCGTCCCATATTTGACAAACTAACACACTTCAACATCTAAAAAGGAAGATTGGTAATTTCCTCTTTTTGCACACTTATTACACTTTCAATCTCAGCTATAATGTCCTGTTTAGTAAAGAGTGTCTAAGCTTCTTAGTGGCTCTATGCTTGTAAATGAGTAAAGCCCTAGAATAAACAAGATCCACTGGTGCTGCATCTTTGCATCCATATGGCATCGGAATTATGGAAATGGCAAATTGGGAGAAACCAAGCAGTTTTTTTAAATAACAGATTTAATGTCAAAATAAACAAAATCCAGAGTGCAAATGAAACTGATTCATGATATGCAGTCACCTATTGCAATCATTTTGTTGTGAGATAAGGTCATGTCACAATACATATAGAGTCATCTGTATAGATGTGTATATAAAACAAGTATTTAACATAGGTTGTTTTTTCTGCAATAATGAAAACAAATATTTTACACAAAACTTTTTGGCATATAACTGCGTCCCACCAACCACAACTTTTATAAAGATAACATTTTGGGGGAAGAAAATATCACCCCTAAAACTCAACAATAAAAAAGACCATTTAGCTAAATGTGATATTTTCCATCAAGAGATACTGCAAATGCATAGTTCAGTAAGTCTGTTAATACATACAGTGTATTATAATATATTATATTCAGAGCTAGAATAATTGCATAAGGTCAGACAATGCCTTTAGCCTTATAAAATAATCAGCCAGAAAAAATCATTTCCACATACAGATGGGTGACAAATGAAAGGGAAAACCTGGGTCACCACATGCCAGCTGAACAGCTTCAGCGCTCCTTGGTATTGATGCTACAAGTCTTTGAACTCTACTGGAGGGATAAACACCATTCTTCCATAAGATATTCCCTTATTTGTTCCTTTGATGATGGTGGTGGAGACGCTGTCTAACATACATCAATCATGATGGCGAGGGTAGTGGGGTGCTGGAGCCTATCACAGCTGACATTGGGTGAAAGGTAGGGTACACCCTGGACAGGTCACCGGTCTATCACAGAGCTGACACATACAGTAGAGACAGACAACCATACACACCCACAATCACTCCTATGGGCAATTTAGAGTCACGCTGTCTAACACGTATCTCCAAACTCTCCCATAGGTGTTCTGTTTGGTTTGAGACAACCATGTGATTCACATCATCAAACTATTCAGTGACCCCTTGTGCTTTACAGATGGGAGTATTGTCATCTTGGAAGAGACCACTCATTTATTTGTGTTTCCTTTAATTTGCCACCCACCTGTACCTCACAGTAAGATAAAAACAAAGCTCAACAGCTCATTTGTTTCAGTAGATTTACATAAATAGTGTCACAGCAGAGAGGCTTTTGGTCACAGCAGGCTGGACCAATTACTATATCTTTTGTTGGATTTTGGCACAAGTCTGTTGGCTTTCTACATTTGGGGAACACTTTCAAAAAGAAGACTGTGGTGCATTTAAATGCTGCTGCATTGTCTGAAATAGTGAAGTTGAGTAGAATAGATAGACTGCAGAGATAAAAACTGAAATGTTTTGTATTGTAATTTGTTTCCAGGTGTCCTCCTTCTGAAATGCTGTTATGTATTTAAGTCTTATTGGGCAATGCTACACGCTTGAGTAATAATACATTTTGTACACACAGCACTGAAACTGAAAAAACAAACGCACAATAATAATCACACCTGACAGTCTGTTTGTTTGTGTTAAAATAAACCGCGGTGCATCATTTGTATTTTTAAAACACTTCACCATAGTCACTGAACGTCCTGATGAAAATGTGACAACAGCTGTTTTTGCTCTCAAGCCCAGCTGGATTGGAGCCAACCCCTGACCCCCTGCCTCCCGGTTGCGACATTAGCTGCAAGGTTTGAGCAAAGTAAAATCCTGCATTGACAACTCCAGTGTTGTTGACTCCATAATAAAACATCCCACATAAAGCCACAAATGAAAAACTTACATGTCAAACAGGGGTTTTGTCCCCTTCCCCTTTAAACAGAGAAAGTTTCAAAGTAAATTAGGTAATCGGTGCCTTGGGTTCTTGGATAGAAAGCTTTCCTTCAACGGACATGATTGTGTTTCATTTCAATGAAAACAGAAAAGCCATCATGCTCCTTATTAATAAAACAAAGGCATTGTTGTTATTTTCCCAATCATCCCCAACACTTTGATTTTATCCCTGCTTCGCACCAAGAATTTTCTCAGTGTGTGTCTCATTCTACGGCATTCAGAGACCTATTTACAATCTGTGAGACAAAAATGAAAGCCTTTCAAAACAAAACAAAAAAAGAGAGAAATCATAAGTTATGCTGGTCAGTTAATTTGCTGCCTTGAAACATGTTTCATGTTAATGAGGTTAAGAAGTGAGGGGAACAGGTTTTATTTAATCTTCCTGTTGCACTGTCTCCTGTCACTCCTAACGGACTAAGAACAGAAGATGTCAGGCAAATGAATAGGAGAATGAAGTAAGAACTGGACTGGCTTAGTGTGGATTAGCACAGTTTGTCTCGCTCAGCCACCATTTCACGCTGACTGTTTCACATGCACCAAATCAAAGGCAAGCGCAGTTTCACCACATACAGTAGCTGGGGGGAATCATTTCATTTCAGGTAGTAGAAAAAGGGGGAAGCTCTGGCTGTGCTAAAATGTCCCTTTTAGCAAAAGAAGCTTTAAGCCATATTCACTAGCTTTGATTTGTATTCCTCAAATAGAATCCAATTAGAAGGTCTGAATGTATTCCAAATATTCCAGGCTAAATTTTATATTGGGAAAAAGTTAAAAAATATAAACAGTATTGCATAGGTTCTGATAGGAGGTTGTGCAGGAGCAAGCAATGCTTGTAAAAAATTATATATAAAATAAACAGTTACAAGCAGACTGTTGTGCAAAGAAGGTCAACTGTCCTGAGTCAAACAGTAGGTGATGACATGGCCCGGTGTGTCGCTCTTTCTTGCCTGTGTGTTATAGGACTGCTGTGCCAGGAACTAGACAGCCGCTTTCTGGTCCTGCTCTGTTGGCACGGAGTAAATCCTTAAGTGAGAGGAAGGACAGGAAGGGAAAACAGGGCAAAAGTCTGTCAATCTTTAAGGTATTTTTAGGTTCTTTCTCAGTTGGTTAGCAGAGAGACTAAAGAAACATCCCCACATGTCAGAATTCAGGAAACAACATGCATGCCTCGTGCTGCAAGGGTCTGACAGGTGCACGGTGACTGCATCACCTCAAAGCACAGCTCATCCCTAGGTGGGACTTAGAAACCTGGCATGGCGCTGTTGATCCAACAAGCCAGAGGTTGCTGTGTGATTAAGCCTCTTTTCAGCAAAGCGATCAGTCAGCACCAAACACTGCCAGACCTCACTGCAGCCCCAGGAGGCAGCCAGTAATCCTGTGGTGGAACGCAACCCTTGCAGATTGACTAGGGTCCCTGCTCCACAACGGCAGGTCTCCTGCTGCTTAAAGATCTTTGGAGACTAATATGAACCTTTCTGATTTGACCTGTGGGTCATGTATCACTGCACCAAAGAACAAAAGAAACTGATTACTCTGCAGAAAGCCAACTGTGGTTAGATAAGCAGAGTGACAGGTGAGACCGTCTCTCTGTATAACTGGTTTAGGCTGTTCTGCTGTCTGACTGTTGTTGGCACATTGTTGTTACGAAACAAGGATCATGTTTACAGGGCTGCTTTATTCCTGAGCAGAGTCATCTGCACAGGCCTCAGTTCATGATGTAAGCTTGGGAACAGGTTAGGTCCTGTCCTGTTCGGTCATACAGCCCCAGTGCCATGTCTTAAGGCTATTGTTTGAGATGGAAAGGGTTAGAGGTGGTGAGTGTTCAGCGGTGGAGGTAGAAGACCTCAGGCTGTAATACAAATTGCAGAACAAGTCTTAACGTGCTCAGCATTTTGCCACCTGAGTGTTTTTCTCTGGTTTTGATGCTGACAAGCTGGATGGAGCAGGGCAAATTGGCAAGGTAGCAAAAAGGCTGTTACCCACCAGACTGGTTCTGTCACCCGCAGGCTGACTAATGTCAAGTGGAACATGAACATAAATTAATGTTCATATGTGGTGACTTCAATATAGATTTGTTAAATTCTACTGAGGAGTTTATTAACACAATATATAGATGCAGTTTATACCCAAAAATTACAAAACCAAGTAGAGTAACAACCCAGCATGCAACACTAATAGATAATATACTTACCAATGTTATTGACAGCAAAATGACAAGTGGATTACTTATAAATGATATTAGTGATCATCTACCAGTATTTGTGGTTTATGAGGGCCAGTATAGAAAAGAGAGGCCAAAAACAAATCTTTTCTATAGGAGGGTGACGAATGAACATGCTGTAAGGAGGCTAAAAGAGGATTTTATGGGGCAAAACTGGGAATCAGTTTACAGAGAGGAAGACTTAGATAAAGCATATGAGCATTTTTAAAATATATTTAAGAATGTATATGACAGGAACTGTCCTCGTAAGCAATATAAAAACAAGAGGAATTACAGTGGGAAACCGTGGATGAGTAAGGGATTACAGAATGAATGTAAAAAGAAGAATGCATTATATAAAGAATTCATAAAGGACAGGTCAAAGAAGGCGGAAGAAAAATATAAGTCATATAAGAACAAATTAATTGAGATTTTGAGGAGATCTAAGAAACTATATTACTCTAAAGTATTAGAGGATAATAAAAATAACATGAAAGGTACTTGGAATATATTAAATAAATTGATTAGAAACAG